AGGTTAAAATGACCTTTAATGGAGATTTCAATTTACCACTTACCTCTCCTTTTTCCTGTTTCCTCTCCTGTCTCATGTCTCCTCCCTTGTCTCCTCCCTTGTCTCCTCTCCTCTCTCCCCTCCTGTCTCAGGTTGTCTGTGTGTGACGAGGACAAGCTGACTCATAATGAGTTGATCGGAGAGTCCCGTGTTCCTCTGAAACGTGTGAAACCGAATCAGACCAAACATTTCCACACCTGCCTGGAGCATCCGCCTCCGGTAACTCACCTGCTGTTTCCTTTCCCAGAGTTATGTAGCGGGACAAAGGGAAAGAAAAAACCTTTTATTTTATTATTAATAATTAATTTAATTTAATGATAATAATTTAAGTAATAATTAACTTTTAATTCCCCCCAACACTGTCAAACAGTTAAATTTACAGCACGAGAAACTTTAGACTCAGTCTGGAGAAATTATGTCCCACCAGATTTATCTCCAGAGACGATGTGATTGGTCCATCAAACAGGAAGTAAATAGTTCAACCTTATTATTAATGTTAATTACAGAAGCACTTCATTAAGACAGAAGCATCTTCACTGTCTCTGCTCTCTCCTCAGATGCCCTCTCCCACGGCCATGGGCGAAGCTCTGCGAGGAATATCCTGCTACTTAAGAGAGGTGAGAGTCCATCCATCCATCTGTCTGTTCATCCATCCATCTGTTCATTCATCCATCCATCTGTTCATCCATCCATCCATCTGTTCATCCATCCATCTGTTCATCCGTCCATCTGTCCATCTGTTCATTCATCCATCCATCTGTTCATCCATCCATCTGTTCATCCGTCCATCTGTCTGTTCATCCATCCATCTGTCCATCTGTTCATTCATCCATCCATCTGTTCATCCATCCATCATCCATCTGTTCATCCGTCCATACATCTGTTCATCCGTCCATACATCTGCTCATCCATCCATCTGTCTGTTCATCCGCCCATCTGTCCATCTGTTCATTCATCCATCCATCTGTTCATCCATCCATCATCCATCTGTTCATCCGTCCATACATCTGTTCATCCATCCATCTGTTCATCCGTCCATACATCTGTTCATCCATCCATCATCCATCTGTTCATCCATCCATCCATCTGTTCATCCGTCCATCTGTTCATTCATCCATCCATCTGTTCATCCATCCATCATCCATCTGGTCATCCATCCATCATCCATCTGTTCATCCGTCCATACATGTGTTCATCCATCCATCCATCTGTTCATCCGTCCATACATCTGTTCATCCATCCATCCATCTGTTCATCTGTCCATCCATCCATCCATCCATCCATCCATCATCCATTTGTTCATCCATCCATCATTCATCTGTTCATCCATCCATCCATCCATCCATCTGTCTGTTCATCCATCCATCTGTCCATCTGTTCATTCATCCATCCATCTGTTCATCCATCCATCATCTGGTCATTCATCCATCATCCATCTGTTCATCCGTCCATACATCTGTTCATCCATCCATCCATCTGTTCATCTGTCCATCCATCCATCCATCCATCCATCCATCCTTCATCCATCCATCCATCCATCCATCCATCCATCCATTTGTTCATCCATCCATCATTCATCTGTTCATCCATCCATCCATCCATCTGTCTGTTCATCCATCCATCTGTCCATCTGTTCATTCATCCATCCATCTGTTCATCCATCCATCTGTTCATCCATCCATCATCCATCTGTTCATTCATACATCCATCTGTTCATCCATCCATCATCCATCTGTTCATTCATACATCCATCTGTTTATCCGTCCATACATCTGTTCATCCATCCATCCATCCATCTGTTCATCCATCCAGCCATCTGTTCATCCGTCCATCCATCCATCTGTTCATCCATCCATCCATCTGTTCATCCGTTCATCTGTTCATTCATCCATTCATCTGTTCATCCATCCATCTGTCTGTTCATCCATCCATCTGTTCATCCATCCATCATCCATCTGTTCATCCGTCCATACATCTGTTCATCCGTCCATCCATCTGTTCATCCGTCCATCCATCCATCCATCATCCATCCATCCATCCATCTGTTCATCCATCCATCCATCTGTTCATCCATCCATCTGTTCATCCATCCATCCATCCATCCTTCCATCCGTCCATCCATCCATCTGTTCATCCATCCATCCATCTGTTCATCCGTCCATCTGTCCGTCCATCCGTCTATAATCGCTTAGGGTTAGGGTTAGATTCATGGGTCTATGACCTCAGGCTGACCTTTGACCTGATCAGAGAGGGTTCAGGACCCTTTATTTGACCAATTCATATTTTGATTCGGTTTGTTTTTGTTTGTTTATTCTTCGTCCACGTCAGAGAGGAAACGTATTTATGCAGAGAGCAGCTCTTCACATTAGTGGAGTCTCACTTTGTCGACATTAATTAGAGACAATTAAACGAGTGGAAGTGTAATCAGCGTGTTTGAAGAGCTGAACACAGACGAGTGAATCCTCTTCAGTCTGAAGTGATGTGTGATGAGAAGCGTCTCTTCAGAGGTTCACGTCAGGAGCAGGAAACGTTTCATCTGAGTTTAGACGTAGAAGCATTTTATTTTGTCGAGTTTATTTTCCCTTAAAATCAGAACCAGAGACCAACAAAGACCAGCTGTAAAACTGGGTCTGAGGCTCATCTCCTCTCACTTCCTGGTTGAGACATCTGGATCAGGCCTTGAGCCCCGCCCACCACCTGCTGGCTCCAGGTGGACAGGTGAAAGAGCAGAGAGCATCAAGATGGTGAGAGGAGGAAACATCAGAGAGACTCAGCCACATGTTTGAGCCTCAGTCAGACCCAGACTCAGAGGAGGAGTCTGAGACCAGAACCAGAGACTAGCAGACGGATCAGAACCGTTAGCGTAGTTAGCATTTTCTTATAAAGGTTAGTGTAGTTAGCGTCTTTTATTTGTTTATGTTGTTTGTTAGGTTTCAACTGGCTTACACAGTGTTAGCGGTTGTGCTAACACTAGCTCTCTCTCTCAGGTTTATTTAACCCGCTCTGCTGATCTATTTAACCAGGGAATGTCACTGATTAGATTTTCCCAGGCGCTGTGGATGTTAATGTGATGTCACCTGTGCACACGCCATGACGGTGAAATGATTCAGTGAGAGACCGTGGTAATCCAGGGACAGGCCACAATGTCACCGCAGCCTGGATGTAATGTGGCCTCTGTGACCCAGATGTGGTCCAGATGTGATTTAAAGAGAGTGATCTGGTTCTGCTTGTCAATAAATCCCATTAAAAGACTGAAGCCAACAACACACACACATACTGACTCCGTCCCACACACCGTCCTGCAGCCCTAAACACTCACTACCACACCAAATGTGGATTAATCCGCCGCTGAAACTACTGCACAAAAAATACCTTATATATATATTTTTTATATATCATGCTGTTTGTTAAATAGAGACTAGTGACTGACTCAGTCTGCACAGCACAACAAGAACTAGAATCACCTCCTCGTGGTCGTATCCCTCCGCCACTCAGACTAGTTCCAGGTCACATGCCTGTTTATCCAGAGTCACAGAAAATATGAAGCGTTGGTGTGACATTTTGTCATAATTGCTGAGTGAAGTCTTGAGTAATGGCTAGAATTTCATTTTGCGAGGTCAGGTGACCTTTGACCTTTGACCCTCAAATTCTAATCAGTTCATCCTTGAGTCCAGGTGAATGTTTGTACCAAACTTGAAGAAGTTCCGTTGAATTGTTTCTGAGATATTGTGTCCATAAGAATGAGACGGACGAACAAACTGAAAACAATATGTCTCCGGGTCTGACTGAATAAACATATAGAACATAATCACATTGATCCTTCAAAATAAAACTAATCTGTCAGGTAAACTATTTTATCTGCGTTCAATGTAATTTAGTTCTTTGTTTTTTTACTAAAGACTGTGACAGTGTCAGGATTCAGTCAATAAGATCTGGAGTTGAAGAAGAAGAAAACTGTTCAGTTCCAGCTGAATTTGTCTTTCTCTTCATGTCTCTATGTGTGAGACAGTAGAACAGATCTGAGACCAGATCTGATCCCACCGCTGCAGCTTCTTCACAAAAAAACTACTTGACACGATGAAAAGCAGCAGCAGGGTCAGAGAGCGTGAATCTGGACAAGAGAGACATCCAGATAAATGAGAGATAACTCGTGAGAGGAGCAGTGAGTGACAGCTGGAGGAGTGAATGGAGATGGAGCGACAGATGATAACTCACCCCGAGGAGTTTAAACCCACAAAGTCCAGACGGTCTGTAGGGAACAGAAAATCACACGGAGGACCACTTCCTTCTGCCAAGAATAGATTGGAGATAAGTAAAAAAAAAAAAAGGAATTGAACAGGAAGTCTCTGCCCCCGCTCAGCTCAGAGCTCAGCCCATGAATACAGACTCATGTCATGTAGCCGAGGCTCCTTCAAACTTTTATAACTCAGTCTGAAAGGCTGGTGCAGATCTGAAAGCTCCAAAGAGATGCACACGGTGTAGAGAGGCTTAAGAAACACGTCAGTCAGGCTGGAAACGCTCCAGTGAATTGGTGGAACAAGAGGATATTACAAAGGAATATTAGGTCTAATGTTATAGAAAAGAACTTGAGAAAAAAAAAATCATGAGAAAAAAATCTGTAGTAATTTAGGAAAAAGTTGTTTTATTAAAACAAAATCATAATTTTCTGAGACGAAGTTGTGATATTTTGAGAATCAGGTCTTAATCTCATGAGGAAAGTGTAATCTTCATTTCCTGTTGTAAAGACAAGTGAAAAACATCTTGTTTAGTCCCATAATCTGATTTAAAGACCCGCTGCTCTTCTATCTACATCACAGGTTGTGTATGTAGAAACAGTTCATGGATTCTTCTAAGAAAAACTGTGAAAACATAGAAGATGAAGTTTCCCTGGTCGACCTCGAGGTGTGAAACCACATCTCATCTCAGGCCAGCACCTTCCTGAAGCTGCCTGGAGGGTCTCAGGTCCTTTTTGTCACTGACTGAATGACTGACTGACTGATTGACTGACTGACTGACTGACTGACTGACTGATGAAATTGTATCACTGGTCGTCTGGGTGAGTTTCTCAGGTTCCCCACTGTGCAATAGTTGTCTGTTGGGGAAACAGCAGCAGAGCAGCAGCTTGAACGTGACTGCTGGTTAACATGTCGTCTTAATGGGCCACGTTTCAGTCGCTGTTTCAAACTTGCTCCGTTGTCATGACAACGGAAACAGAAAAACATGTAAATGAGAACAGCTTTATTGTGAATTCAGCTGCATTAAAATACTGTATATGTTAGCACAGAGAGGAGGAGAGAAGAGAACGGATATAGAGTTGAAACCAGCTGATACTAGACTCGATGATATTACGACGGGGTCCAGCCAGATACCAGGTTTTGACCTGGTCTTGATCCATTTCTAGAAGTCGCCTGATGACTCATGGATTACGAGGGATTAGGTGGAAACTCAGTGACCTCAGGGTTGGAATAATAGAAAGAAAGGTTCAGTACATGTATTATCATTTGGCAGAATACTCGGAGGAGCTTTGGTTTGTTCGATCATCAGTTTGCTCAGAGACAGAGGTGAGGACATGAAACACTTTCAACACACAGGATCACAGGTGAAATAATTCATAAAG